GATGTGATACCTGAGTGACAATTCCCGCCCACTAGAGTGAATATGCATAAATGTCGCCTTGCTATAGTTTATTTCCATGTCCCATATTATACACCACTGATCTAATGCCTGTAAGAGCCTGTTCAGATTAATTTGGTCACTTTCGCAAGTAACTGTGGAATAAATCAAACAGTCATCTGCAAAAAGTTTCATTTTAATGGGAGCCTCAACTATTGAACATAGATCATTAACAAATATCAGAAAAAAAATTGGTCCTAAAACAGATCTTTGGGGAACGCCCGTGTACACGGCCAGTGGCCTTGAAGTGTAATTTTCAATTTTTACAGCCTGTTGATGCGCGGATAAATAGGCCTCTATCTATTTTAATACTTCGCTTATTCCTGATCTTTCAAGCTTAAAAAGTAATTTACGATGAGAGACCTTATCAAAGGCTTTCCTAAAATTGGCACAAATTACATCAGTCTGCAGAAGGGCATCGCTGTTTTTATTGAATTCATGGAGCGTTTCAGGTAATTGTGTCACAGTAGAAAGACCATGCCGAAACCCATGTAGACTTGCGCAAAGTAACTGGTTAGAATCAATAAAACTAAGAATATGTTTTGCTAATACATGTTCCAGAACTTTACAGCAAACCGACGTCAAAGATACGGGCCGGTAATTGTTTACTAACGAGCAGTTACCGTTTTTAAAAATCGAAATTACAACTGCATTGTGCCAGTCTGCATTGAGCGCGTCTCAACCGATTTCACAAATATTATTTCTAAATAAAACGAGACCCATTCTGCGTATCTCTTGAGAAACTCTGTTGGTAGGTTATCCGGACCACTTCCTTTCTTCGCATCTAGCTCAAGCAGTAACTGAAAAACACCCTCGCGGTTGATAATAACAGGTTCCATTGCGGTTGTTGCACTGTTACTAATGGATGCACCCATCTTATCGCCCTGGTCTACTGTGAAAACAGACTGAAAGAAGCGATTAAAAGTATCTGCTAAGTCTTCAACTTTTGTCAGGCTAGAACCCTCTTGTTCGATCTGTTCAATTCTTTCCTTTCTGTCACTGATCTAAAGCCAGAATTTGGATGGCGAACTTTTCAGGAAGTTCATAAGCGATAGGCCAAAGAACTTATTTTTGGAATTCACAAGGGCTTCTTTCAACTTGATTTTCATAGCTGCAACTTCCGTCGCTCTTTTTTTACTTTTCCTTAATCTCTTAATTTGCCCTTTCATATGTATAATGCTGCCTGTTATCCAGGGATTTCGTTTGAGTGTTTTCTTAATACGAGTAGGGACAAATCGATCAACGCAAGTTACGACGTTGGCCTTAAGTCTCTGCCACAATTGCTCCATAGATTCAACATGTGATGCTGGCTCGAAATCATTAAAGTGGAGCTCGAGAAAATCTATGATGGAAGTGTCATCTGCCTTTTTAAAGTCCTTTACTTCTACCGGAAGGAATGGTTTCTCTAAAGTGCATGCACTAGTTTTAATGCTTTACATGCTTTACATAAGGCAACACTTTCTTTTCGTGCGGACCAAGCGCTATAGAAAAGAAATATTTTCACTGCTGTTCACAAGTGAACTAAAGGTGTCACAAAACATTTATTGGTTAGGTATGCTAAGCACAGTGTACATAAGACGACAAGAGAAAAGGTTAGGGTCAAAGATAAAGGCACTGATGTTTGCTTTAAAACTTATTTTTAAAAAATGGTATAAGTAAAATATCCAAGAAAGATTTCGATGATTATTAAATACAGCACAGAGGAGAATAAAATGGTACTAATTTTTCTGCATGAGATACGCCAAAGGAAGCTGAACGCACTGCTACTCGTTCTGTAGCTGTAACGTATTGTACCTTCTCACATATAAGTCGCACCAAAACATAGCAAAATGTGCTCAAGAAGTGGTGATGTGAGTTATATCCATATTTTTTTCTTCCTTTCATGAAGCCAACATTAGCGGTGCATATATTCATGAAGCTAACATTATGAAGCTAACATTTCATGAAGCTAACATTAGCGGTGCTAACATATGCAGGGGCGGATTAGATGCGAGCAAACACGATATTAGAATGAGAGCCATTTTAGACAGTATTTTACGCCGTGTGATGATTACAAATCAAGCTTCATGACTACATACTCCTTTAACCATTGAGTCATACCGCAACAAGAATAAAGTCAAGTTCATTATTTCAAACTCCAGAGGGAGAGAATACCTGTTCAAATTAACAGGAGTTTTAACTAGCGAGGTCCCTTTGATATGCGGTACAGTGCACGGAACCGAAGAACCCAGCTACATTCTCAGGAGCTATGATTTCAAGTCGCTGATTCGCTTTTAGTCAGTCATGGCATATTTCATTGCGATAGCAATAATATGGGTGCTCTTGGATGGTTTTTGTCGTTGACATTGGTCACTGCCGTCATGCCCCGTATATGTACAGTATAACCTCTTTACAACAGATCTCCATAGTGAAAAGAAATTCAGACTGTTGTACAGTGCAGTCCACTTATAACGATACCACATATAACGATATATCGGTTATAACGATGGGTCGACTTAACAGTCTCATTTTATGCATTGGGGCTATGGGGAAAAAAACCATATATAACGATATGTTATCCACCGCATATCGGATACAACGATGAAAAGTTTGCCGTGGACGGCATGTTTCATTCAGAATAATCGTAACATTTAGATTGATAAGTTCCTCTGAAACGAACTATGCCGAGACAAGACGAAAAGTTAGCGTAGGCGAGTACGTATCTGCCGCCACTGCAGCACAGCGCCGGCAGCACGACCCGGCCGTTCAAAAAGCCGAGGAGAGCATCGCGAGTTGGCGCGACGCGCTACAGATGGCGCCAGCTGTGTCACGTTTTGCGCCTCGCCGCGCGTCGACCGCGGAGAGGCTGAGAGAATTAAAAAAAAAAATGCGAAAAGCAAAGCGCCGCGCTCCGCGGCTCCCCGCTTCTGCAACGGCAAGCCGGCAAGCTACGAGTAGCTTGCCGAACGAAAGCGGGAAAGAGAGAGAAAATAAAAAAAGCGAAAAGCAAAGCGGCGCAGCGGCATCGGGGCGGGGCCTCGTTGGCATTCCGGCTGTGTACCTCTGGCTGTGCTTTCTTCCTCCCACTGCTCCCACCCCGCCGTCGGTCAGTCTCTCTTCCTCAGCGAACCCGTGATGCGTTCTTCGGAGTAAGAAATAAAGTCTTGTTTTTGACATCCTACTATCTACAATATTTATTAATTGGTGAAAATAGCGAAATGAAGCCTGGAGCTACAAAAGGTACATCTGGCGACGATTTTTTGGCGGCAGTCCAGATATAACGATCACCGGTTATAACGATCATATTTTTAGCTTTTCTCGATATCGTTATAAGTGGACTGCACTGTAGAAGGAGTGTGCGAAATTCAAGTACTGTAACAGATTTCATGTAAACAGTAAATGGGTATGCTATAACCAGAGACAATTACTAGCCATAAATTAATGTACTCTCAGCAGGTGCATAAAAAAATAGATTTTTTGAAAATAACTCTTAGTTTCTGTGCCCCCCTCCAATTCCAAAATATCGTCACTGAAAAACAAGCAGAAGTGCTGTAAAAAAGTGTAGCACCTGCCCAGGTTGCGAAAATTATTGAGGAAGTTACAGAAAGAACAGAAAAAGTGATTTTCAAAAAAATTATAGCTCCAAAAAGGCACAATATTCGAAAATTGCGCTACTTAGCGACGTTCTCGCACCTGTTCTGTGTTTGCGGAACACGATGTAGCTGGGGCCCCTGCAAACTTAAGTTCAGTTATCAGATTACGATAACGCGCTGAACTGTCGCGAACATCGCAGACACCCCTCTCGAACTCCCTATAATGCCTCATTGCACCTGATGCTTATCAGCACTCGAACATTGGAACGAAAACCACTGCGGAACAACTCTTTATACTCGCAATCAAGCATGACGTACTTTGAAACATCGGGCACTGCAGCCACGCACATCGCAACTGAGACTTCTGCTCGAAGTCGTGGCTGGGCCTAACTTCACTATGAACTTTGCAGGCAAGACCATCACGTAGGCGGACATGCGAAAGTGATGAGGCCGTAATGTTCTTCAGTTGAAAGCAACGAATTATATGGCCCGCCGGCTCCTCCAAATCCCGAATGGGCATATTACGCATCGGCGGAGGACACCTCGGTCTAGCTCGATAAGCAGTGACCGCTCAGGAGCAGCGGTTAGCAATTGCGAGCGTCAGCGCCACAGAACGCAACGAAGCACGCTGCGCGCAGATTTTTTCGTCGCCTTGGTTAGGCATAACCTGACATTATTGAATTGACCACAAACAAGCGGCCTTTGTTATTGAATCGGTACGTCGATATCCGCAATGCGCCGTTCCCATTCCAAATGTATGCCAGTCGGAAGTTATTGAATTTGGCACGTTCGCAATAGGAAAAGTCAGCTGTAAAGGTGTCCTGAGCACCTTGCTGGCCTCATATTTTAGTCAATTAAACCCAAATGTCCGTTGTACCAGAATCCACAGTAAACAAAGCTCAATCAATGGAACAAATTGGGTGGTTGGTATAACAACGCCAATTGGTATGTTGTATCCGAAAGTCTGTTTAAGCAGATCTGTTGTAACGAGGTTATGCGGCACAGGTATCTACATATATAGAAAAGCAATAAAGGAAACGAACCACATCCTAGGCTTGGAGGAAGCCACGCGCCACTGAGTCATAAAAGCTGCATTTAGACTATATTCGAAGACATAGTTCAGCTTTTCATGTGCAATGTTAGTAAACTTAGTTTGTAGCTGTTAGTAAATCAATAACAAAAGCTTGTTCAAGGAGTTTCAGGATTCACTAGTGGTACTCTTAATATTATTTACACCTGAATGGATTTGTTGGACTATAGCTTGCCTGTGCGCCTGGCGTATTAACGTATGTACAGGGGGCAAGTGACTGCCCCCCCCCCCCTCATGAAAAGATAACATAAAATATAATAAAATGTAACTGTAGCACTTACTTAGAATTAGATGTGAGTATGGAAGTGAGCGTAAGGGCCAGAAGCTTCTCCCTCTCAACTGGGTTAACAAGAGGCATCTTTTCGATCCACTTGTCCAGCAGGTTCCCAAAGACTTCCTTCCGCCTGCACATAAGGAATCTTTGTGAAACTTCAATCCTGAAAATGACTACTTATATTTTCACATAACATCTGCGCATACCCATCAACTAAATGAATGCAAAACACACATTGAAAAATACCTTTGCTACTACTCGCAATTTTTTTTTTTTTCAAGTACCTATATATTCATGTTAGGTCATCTGCTCAGTGCATCAACTGGATAAAAGGCATAACTACGCTGTCAGAGTACCGTAATTACTCGAATCTAACGCGCACCTTTTTTCCGGTTAAGCGAGTTCATAAATTCGCATGCGCGTTAAAATGGAGTACGGAAAAAAAAAATGAATACGGTCATTCTATTGCCATTGCCATTTCCGAAATGGCCGCCCGCTACAGTGCGTCGGCGTGGAGCGTCGGCCATTTCTGCCTATGTGTCTCCCATGTGCAGCACTTCGTACGTGTTCTGAGGTGTTCATCATCTTGTAGTGCATTAGCATCGATGGCAATGGAACGGCAGGACTCCAAAAACTCGAGTGCACCACGATGCCGCTTTTAAAAGAAAAGTTATCGCGTGTGCCGAAACGGACAGAAATCGGGCCGCATTGCGGTCGTTCGGAGTTCCCAAAAGGTGCGTGCAGGAAGGACGGAAACAAAAGCAGAAGATTGTCGACAGCAAAGATTCACGCAAAGGCTTCAGTGGACCACAGTAGGGTCGGTTTCCGCAAATTGAAGAGCTGCTCGGCGAGTATGCGCTTGAGCAGCGAGCGGCACAGCGGCTCGTGACGACAGAACTGCTCCAAGTGTGGGCTATGCAGTTAGCCTTAGAAAAAGGGCTAATGCGGAGCCAGTTTAAAGCGAGCAGGTGCTGGCTAACTAACTTTATGAAGAGGAAAGGTTTTTCCCTCCGAAGGTGAACAGGCATATGCGGAAAGTTTTGCAGAGGAGGACGATGAAAAGCTTCACAGTTTTCAGAGGTTCGTCCTAAACTTGCGGCACAACAACGGCCACCTGCTTGGGCAAATCGGGAATGCCGATCAGACGCCTCTTTACTTCGACATGCCTGGCACCACAACCGTCAGAAGAAGGGGGCGAAGCAAGTTCGCGTGCTGACATCTGTGCACGGTAAAACTACAGTGACGGCAATGCTCTGTTACAAGTCAGATGGGCACAAGCTTCCCCCGTACCTCATATTTAAATGGAAGACGATCCCGAAAAAAGTCGTTTCTTCGAGTGGTGTGATCAAGCGGGCCAGCGAGAAAAATGGGTGCGCGTTGCAATTGATGTCTTATTTTTTTTTCGTCGTGGAAATGGGGTGCGCGTTACAATCGAGGGCGCGGTAGAATCGAGTAAATACGGTACCTGTATTGCAACAGTGAGGTATACAACTGCACACCAGCAATTGTAGGTGACGAGCAAGAAAAGCATCTGTTTGGGTTGCTATGAGAAGGCATGAAGTCATGAAGTAGTGAGAGATTCTACAGTAAAAGCTCTAATTTAGATTTCATGCCACTGGAAAATGTTTCCAAATTAACCGAATGCCAATTTATCGAAAGTATCAAGAAAGCAATAAACAAATGTCTACTACATCAACACTAGGGTTGTGCAAAAGTTTGAATATTCGGTCGAATAATACTGTAGCATTTGAATTCACTTCGAGTTTAATTTAAATGGTTTAAAATTTCAAAGTATAAGAAATAAACGAAATAAATTTTAGTTTGCATGTAACTCACTGTAATGGTGGTTTCACTGCAGTGAAGAGGTGCGAAGCTGATTGATATGTGGGGTTTAACGTCCCAAAACCACCATATGATTATGAGAGACGCCGTAGTGGAGGGCTCCGGAAATTTTGACCACCTGAGGTTCTTTAACGTGCACCCAAATCTGAGCACACGTGCCTACATCATTTCCGCCTCCATCGAAAATGCAGCCGCCGCAGCCGAGATTCGAACCCGCGACGTGCGGGTCAGCAGCCGAGTACCTTAGCCACTAGACCACCGCGGCGAGGCAAGAGGTGCGAAGCTGTAAAAGCACTTAAACGTATATTATTTCGGATGCAACAACTTGTAAAAGTGGTTTCACTGTAGTAAAGGGGTGGAGCTAAGCCATTGAAACAGGAAAAATTGCAACTGCCGCAAAGCTCCACTACGATGTTAAATGGACATATTGCCCTCACATCAATTCATCATTTTTTTTTAAGTTTAAAAGCTTAAAATACAGTTTAAGTTTAAAATACAGGTTATATGCTTTAACCAAAGTAAATTTTTAAAGGTATCATATTTTACATGTTATCATTTACACTCGACCAAGAGAATTAAAAATCTTTTTTCAAAATAAGATCATCTGCAGAATTATACTCTGCAATAAAATAATATACACAGTTTTGAGATGCGATTAGAAAAAAATAAATAAATATATCGACTCTCAAAAGGTTAAAAAGTAAGTGCCTCAGAAACTAAATGTAGGCTAGTACAAAATAATGGAAGGTTCTGCAGCAGGAACTTACATCACAACCCTTGCCCTGTGCCTCTTCTTGAAGAAGCTTGGTAAAGCAGGACTTGCAATGTAAGATGACACGAGAAATGATGGACAGGCAGACTGACGTCAGCATGGAAGCCTTCTGAAAAGAGCAAAGCCAAGGACAACATAAGCGGGCATAAAAAGAGTGAGCAGCAAACAAGGAGCGACACTCGAAAATGAAAATAAGAAATAAATTGAAATAAAGTAATGCTCCTCCATTCCGCCTCCTATGTTGTTTTCTTTAGAACAGGAAGATGAAACAAGTTGAACATGCATGACAATTTCATTGCAAGGTTGTTCAGATGTTAACTAGTAATATATAAATTTAAACATATATACGTAATCAGGCAAACACAGGATCAATTAAGATCCATATACAAATGCACAAAATTAACTGTGGAAACAAATGATAGAAGTAATACATTCAGCAACTAAAAGAAAGGTACAAAGAATTGCACTTTTGTTGAGGAGAACTGCACTTCTCCACATTCCTGATAACACTGACGTTAAAAGCAAATGCTCACCTCCCCTTCCAGACACTCCTCCAATGCATGAACCAGAAGAGGGTAGAAAAGCTGTGGGCCCTGTTCTGGGAAGACCCGGATTACGAGCTCGACCATCTGAGAGAAAAAAAAAAATTTAGATTTGAAATGCAGTGCGCAGCTTTTTGGTACACGATATTGCCACGTTCCATTTCCCAAGTTTTTGTTATCGTCCCAAAACACCACACGATTCTCGGCGCAAACCGCGCCTGCAGTTTTCGAGAAGGTTCCGGACTGTAGTAGATCATTTCGATAAGATCACGCCCACTGTGCGAACGGTACAGATTGTTCTGGAACCTACGCCACCGCCAGCGATAACGCTAGAACATTCGACGGCAAGAGTATAAATGTCGACGTGCTTCGCCGCTTGTCAGTTGTTGATCGAAGGCCAACACTCCATTCGCCGCTATCAGTCCGAGACTGCTATCTGTGCAAGACTGCTGCTGTAATTGGACTTTCCGCTTACCGGGCACAGGTTCGCCCAAATAAACAGTTAAATCCCACCACGTAGTCTCCTGTCTTCGGCCTCGTCACGACCCCGTGACATCTGGTGGAGGTGCTGTTTCTTCCATGTACCGGACGCCTCCGTCAAGCCGTGAACCCAGCCCACGCCGTGAAGACACCGACGCCAGCAACGAGCAGCAAGTTAGCCGCAGGCAACAAGGTCTGCCACCGGAGTACGGGCTTTTACTGGACAAGGCTCGGAAAACCAAGACGTTGACGTCGACCACGGCGACCATGTCAACGCCTGTTCTACCTGCACCACTCCTGCTCCGGCAACCCAAAGAGCCGCCAACTTTCTGCGGTTCGCCACTGGAAGACGCAGAAAGCTGGATCGAAAGGTTCGACCGCGTTGCCGCCTTCAATGACAGGACAGACGAAGACAAGCTACGGCATGTGTATTTCGCCTTGGAAGATGCTGCTCGGACCTGGTTCGAAAATCAAGAGCGAAGCCTCACAACGTGGGACGCCTTTCGCACCAGGTTCCTCACCACTTTCGCAAGTGTGGTGCGCAAGGAGAAGGCCGCAGCTCTCCTCGAAACCCGCATGCAGATGCCAAATGAAAACGTGGCGATATTCACGGAAGATATGATTAAACTCTTCCGCCACGCTGACTGGAGAAGAAGGCGCTTCTACTTATGCGAGGAGTAAAGCAGGAATTCTTCGCCGGGCTGATCAGAAACCCACCTAAGACGGTCGCCGAATTCATTTCAGAAGCATCTACGATAGAGAAGACGCTCGAGATGCGCACGCGGCAATATAACTGTAGCTTCTCGTCTACAAGCTACGCCGACATTCAAGCGCTCGGAACCACTGACTTGCGTGAAACGATCCGAGCGATCGTGCGGGAAGAGCTGCGCAAGCTGTTGCCTTCGGCGCAGCCTCAAGTGGATTCAATCGCCGACATTGTGCGAGAAGAAGTTCGGCAATCGCTTCAGATTCCCCCCGCACCGCTGCCCGAGCCGGAAACTATGAGCTACGCCGCTGCACTGCGCCACAACGCTCCTCCCCGTCCACGCCAAAACGCCGCCCCATCGCACTTCCGTCGACAGACGCCGCCGCCGCCACCACCCCCACCGACGTCATACTGTTCGCCAGCGGCCCAGCGCAGTGCACCGAGGAAGACTGACGTCTGGCGCACCCCTGACCATCGCCCGCTCTGTTACCACTGCGGCGAGGCCGGACACACATACCGCCATTGCCAGTACCGACAGATGGGACTGCGTGGCTTCGCCGTCAATCCACCGCGTCCACAGCCAGGAGAACGACCACGTGACATCGCCAACTACCTGACAGGAACTCGGTGGACACCACGAAGCCCTTCGCGTTCGCCGTCGCCCAGCCGCCGCACGTCACCGCACCACCGGCAGTACTCTGGCCCAACGCGGGGCCGGTCTCCTAGCCCGTATCCGGGAAACTAAGGGCAGCAACCGGTGGAGGTGCGGTTGCTGTGCGACGAACTACCGAAGATCCTCCGACGACGCCGCCGCCGCGACGGAGCTTTCCGAACACAACGCCAACCAGGCAAAGCCCTGACGGCGAAAGCTCACTTACCGAAGGTGGCCTGACGACGCAACATGGAAGCAGCGGAACAAGCCGACGCAGCCGTGACCCGACGCCACGCCCTAACTGTAATGCGAGACGGCGAACTAGCGACCTCGACGTTCTTATTGACGGCCACAGTGTGACCACTCTCGTCGATACTGGAGCCGACTATTCTGTCATCAGTGGGTCGTTCGCCGCGAAGCTAAAGAAAGTTAGGACAGCTTGGAAAGGCCCTGAAATCCGCACAGCCGGAGGTCATCTCGTAACGCCTGCAGGAATCTGCACAGCGAGAGTCACCATTAACGGCTGTATTTATCCTACAGACTTCGTAGTCCTACAGTGTTGCTCGAGAGATGTCATCCTTGGCAAGGACTTCTTATGCCTCCATGGTGCTGTCATCAACCTAAAAACAAAGTCGATAACGTTGTCCACAGAAGAAGCACTACCACCGCGCACGCCGTCAGGACACCATGCCTTGAATGTGCTGGAAGAACAAGTCACCATTCCGCCTCGCTCAAGCCTCATTATTTCAGTCGGCGCTCCTAAATCACCTGACTTGGAAGGCGTCGTTGAAGGCAGTCAGCATTTGTTGGTCACCCGAAATATTTGCGTCGCAAGAGGAATTGCAGAGCTGCGGGGAGGCAAAGCAACGGTTATGCTCACGAATTTCAGCAATGAACACAAACATGTGAACAAAGGAACAACGGTCGCATACATCAAAGAAATTGTCGAAGCCACCAGTGCTTTCGCCCTCGCCGATTCTGCGGAACCTGCTCAGAGGAACCAAGCCCCTCCCATAGCTTTCGACGTCAATCCCAGACTTCCGAACGATAAGCAAGAAAATCTCAAGGCCCTGCTCCTGCAATATGAAGATTGCTTTTCGTCGTCATCGAAAATTCGGCAGACCCCAATCATGAAACATCGCATCATAACCGAAGAAAATGCCAGACCACTCCGTCAGAGTCCGTACAGGGTTTCGACGCGAGAACGTGAGGCCATGAAGAGACAAGTTGATGAAATGCTGCGGGATGACATTATCCAGCCGTCCAAGAGTCCATGGGTATCCCCCGTGGTGTTAGTGAAGAAGAAGGATGGGACCCTACATTTCTGCGTCGATTATCGCCACCTGAACAAAATCACAAGAAAGGACGTGTATCCTCTCCCACGAATAGACGACGCACTTGATCGGCTCCATAACGCCAAGTACTTTTCGTCAATGGACCTCAAGACTGGCTATTGGGAAATCGAAGTCGACGAAAGAGACCGAGAGAAGACGGCGTTTATAACACCGGATGGCCTCTTCGAGTTTAAGGTGATGCCCTTCGGCCTTTGCTCAGCGCCTGCAACTTTTCAACGCGTTATGGATACAGTACTGGAAGGATTGAAGTGGCACACTTGCCTTGTGTACTTGGACGACGTCGTCGTGTTTTCCTCAAGTTTCGACGAGCATCTTCGGCGCCTTGAAGCTGTACTTCAAGCCATCAAGACTTCCGGACTCACACTGAAGCCAGAAAAGTGCAGATTTGCGTATGAGGAGCTCTTGTTTCTGGGGCACGTTATCAGCAAGTCTGGAGTTCGTCCCGATCCACAGAAAACAGCCGCCATCGCCGACTTCCTGCCGCCCACTGACAAGAAAGCCGTGCGCCGATTTCTGGGCCTGTGCGCCTATTATAGGCGGTTCGTGAAAACCTTCGCCCGCATCGCCGATCCTCTCACTAACCTTACCAAGGCCGACGTGGAGTTCAAGTGGGAAACGCCATAGGAACACGCTTTCCAAGAGCTTAAACATCGCCTCCAGACGCCTCCGTTACTTGCCCATTTCGACAAATTCGCCGAGACAGAAATACATACTGACGCAAGCAGCGTAGGTCTTGGCGCCGTTCTTGTGCAGAGGGCTGTCGGACTTGAAAGGGTTATTAGTTACGCCAGCCGATCGCTATCCAAAGCAGAAGCAAATTATTCCACAACAGAAAAGGAGTGCCTTGCCATCATCTGGGCTACGTCGAAATTTTGCCCCTACCTTTACGGCAGGCCCTTCAAAGTTGTGAGCGACCACCTCGCCTTGTGTTGGCTAGCCACCTTGAAGGACCCTTCAAGTCACCTCGCACGATGGAGCCCGAGACTTCAAGAATATGACATTACTGTCATTTACAAGTCGTCCGGCAAAAAACACTCCGACGCCGACTGTCTCTCTCGTGCGCCTGTCGACCAACCGCTACCCGACGACCCGGATGACGACTACTTCTTGGGAACGATAACTACGGACGACTTCGCTGAACGACAGCGGGCCGACCCAGAACTTAAGGCCCTAATAGAATACCTCGAAGGCAAGACCGCCGAAGTCCCGAAGGTATTCAAACGCCCACTTGCGTCGTTCTTTCTACGAAACGGTCTTCTACAAAAGAAAAACTTTTCACCGCTTCGAGCTAAGTACCTCCTTGTGGTGCCTTCAACTCTGCGACCAGAACTCCTGCTGGCCCTGCACGACGATCCGACGGCAGGGCACCTCGGTGTTTCTCGCACGCTCGCGAGGATACAAGAAAGATACTACTGGTTACGTCTTACCACCGACGTCACTCGTTATGTGAGGACATGCAGGGACTGTCAGCGACGCAAGACACCGCCGACAAGGCCAGCGGGACTTCTGCAGCCAATTGATCCACCTTGCCGACCTTTCCAGCAGATTGGTATGGACCTACTGGGGCCGTTCCCGACGTCGGCTTTCGGAAACAAGTGTATCGTGGTAGCTACCGACTACCTCACCCGCTACGCCGAGACAAAAGCCCTGCCAAAAGGCAGTGCATCCGAGGTAGCTAAGTTCTTTGTCAAAAATATCGTCCTACATCACGGCGCCCCGGAGGTCCTTATCACCGACAGAGGAACGGCATTCACTGCCGACTTACCTCAAGCAATCTTGGCATACAGCCAAACAAACCACTGCCGGACGACAGCGTACCACCCACAGACCAACGGCCTCACCGAGCGGCTTAACAAGACGATCACCGACATGCTGTCAATGTACGTCGATGTCGAACACAAGACGTGGGACGCCATTCTTCCGTATGTGACCTTCGCATACAATACGGCGGTGCAGGAGACGACGCAGATATCTCCATACAAATTGGTCTACGGAAGGAGCCCGGCAACGACGCTCGATGCCATGTTACCCAACGTCAATTACGAAGAAAACCTCGATGTGAGCGAGTACCTTCAACGTGCCGAAGAAGCCCGACAACTTACGCGTCTCCGTATCAAGAATCAACAGACGACCGACAGCCACCGTTACAACCTTCGACGACGCTTCGTGGAATACCAGCCCGGTGAACGTGTTTGGGTGTGGACGCCGATACGCCGACGTGGACTAAGTGAAAAGCTTCTGCGACGGTACTTCGGACCGTACAGGGTGGTTCGACGCCTCGGCCCACTTGATTACGAGGTTGTCCCCGACGGCATCACGAACTCTCAACGACGCCGATCGCGACCTGAAGTCGTCCATGTCGCGCGCCTCAAGCCGTTTCATGCGCGTTAACAAACTGAAACAGTGTTTTTTTTTTTTTATTATTGTTGTATCGTAATTTATTCGTTGTACTTTCTTGCATTATTACTGTACCTGCATCTTTAGTTAAAGCATCGGGACAATGCCTTTTTTTTCAGAGGAGGGCAATGCCACGTTCCATTTCCCAAGCTTTTGTTATCGTCCCAAAACACCACACGATTCTCAGCGCAAACCGCGCCTGCAGTTTTCGAGAAGGTTCCGGACTGTAGTAGATCATTTCGATAAGATCACGCCCACTGTGCGAACGGTACAGATTGTTCTGCAACCTACGCCACCGCCAGCGATAACGCTAGGAACATTCCACGGCAAGAGTATAAATGCCGACGCGCTTCGCCGCTTGTGAGTTTTTTGATCGAAGGCCGACGCTCCGTTCGCCGCTATCAGTCCGAGACTGCTATCTGTGCAAGACTGCTGCTGTAATTGGACTTTCCGTTTACCGGGCACAGGTTCGCCCAAATAAACAGTTAAATCCCACCACGAAGTCTCCTGTCTTCGGCCTCGTCACGACCATGTGACAATATGAATAACATGAAATCAAAAATCACCGACACAAAATAGCAAAATTCAGAAGAAATCTCTAGGTGAAGTCATACAAGACACGCAAAGTGCCTCAAATTGAATGCTGCCGCTACAATATATAGATGGGGCACGCTACAGTTTCGAACTGCAGGTGAGTTTTGACCACATCGGGAGCTTGACTCATTTTCTGGGGGTCAACGTGAGAATAATGTTACTATAACACATTTCGGCATTCACTTAGTCCAAATGTACAGACAGGACTGCTGTTAAAGCCTTCTGAACATGCCGAACATGCCGTGCACTTGCGTGCACCGCATGTTCAGATTTCACTCTGTTTCAGAAGATTAATGACTTAGATTTGCATAAGACTACCGGTGAATGACAGTTCTGACTATTTTTGTCACACTAGTGCCATGTATTAACATTGTTTCCTTGTCCACATGCTGCTAGGCGGCCGGCAATATGAAAGTTGCTAATTGTAGTGTTTCCTTCAGCAGTGGACCGTACTGTACCTGGAGGAAACGCCACAAGCTGCTTCTTCTCCATTGGTGAAAGGCTTAAAAGCTCTCAATGTTTGCAGAGTTAATAACCCATATTTACTGTATACAGGAGTTTGACAAATAAAAAATTAACTGGCGTGTGGCAAGCTTTTCCAATCCATTTATAAAAAAACAAATAAAAATGGCCAAACTCACCCTCATGATAAACAACATGCCTTCACGGTTCAGATCACATACGAGGTCTGTGGTTGCCTTCAGCAGTCGGTCGCCGTAAGTCTGAAATAAAGAAAGTTCAATATAAAAGAAGAGAAAACACACTCGCTTAGTAAGTTAAAACAGTGTGTGCCCATTACAATGTGATGTGATACAGATAGTAAAGAGACTAAATAGAATGATTACGATTCTTAGCAGCACAACAACCCAGCAGGGACAGAAGAGAGGATAGAGAGTGCTACTCGTGCTCTGTCTGCTCTTGGTTGTTGTGATGCTAAGGATTGTAACCAGGGTAATACTTGCCAACATGCCCAGTCCTACATTCTACATAGGCTGACCACAGTTGCAACAGTAATTCACGCAACTACAACTACAGTGCTTGTGGTACCTTGACTTCTCTCTCATGTCCGTGTTTGCATGCCCAGTCTCTGAGCACGTGCACTGCACATTCTGCTACCAAGGGCAAAAAAGGCCCCTCTTTGAAGGCTTTAGTAATGCTTTTCAGATTAATCGCAACCACCGCTGAAGACACACCAAATAGAAACACTCTTGTCTCAGTGTAATGTGACCCCCTTAAAGCTCTCTGTATAATTTTGCAATGATAGTTTTTTTTTTTTTACGAGGTCGTGGGAGCTAGTCAAGTGGCTTAAGTGCAGCTTTTGCTCCCACTACCCCTCAAATATTCAACTTGGACATAGACTTAATTAAGGGGGGATGTGGTAATTAAAACTGCCTGATATTTATTGGAACAAATTGATAAAATTTAGCATGCTAATGGGACTTGTTAGGCTGATATCATTATTTTAATCAGTTTAGAAATAGGTCTTATAGTTTTTGAGTTATGACATTTAATAGATTTTTACATTCACCCTCTAATTAATTTGTTAGACATAATTTGGGTAGCATACTTGCTTCAGCAAGGTCCACTGTGCCCCTTAATGTTATTCATAAATTTCTTAAGGTCTAAACTAGCACCAAAAAAATTATGAATTCTCCTAATCATATTTTATTATCAACGTCTTTTGCAAAAATACAATTATAAAATTTTTTATAACATGCAGAGAAAAATGAATAGTGTTGCGGCACTTACCAATGTTTCAGGATCTAAGTGCAAAAAACTGAATGATTCTAGATTCATCAGTTATAACTGGGATGACTGACAGCAACTGCCCAACAATGGAAGCTGAGAAAATGAAGCTCGAAGTTTTATTTCATGAAACTGGTCAATTTTTAACATTGAGCACCTAAAACCTGCCTGGGATATAGTCCTTTGTCTCTGTAGATGCATTTTCTTTTGATTTTAATTCAGTTTTTCACTTCTTCGGAGCAATTTTGTGAACTTTGGTTGACTTTTTGACGCGCAGTGCATCCTTTTTTAGCAGCCCACCGCATGCAGCATGATCCTGGAGAGTACCCAAGTTGTGGTCTAATCTTTTTCCATTCAAAATTTTAGAGCCATTCAAATGTCAGAGAATCAATAGGGGTGCACCATGAGCGCCCATGTGACTATTGCAACCAATCGGGATGCCAATTTTGCTTTTTCTTGCTCGCTTTATCTGGTTTTATTTTTTGTTGGAGAAATACGGCGGCACCTCCTCAAGATCGATGTTTCGCGATTTTCGACAACACATTGAAAAAGTGACTTTTTCTCGATTACTGCCATGTAGTTCATTAGAATATTTCCCCATGAGAAAAAGGAAAGTTCGAATATCCTGAAAAAAAAAAATTAAAGATTGATGATCTTGACTAAAATTACCGTTCCGATTGTGGCATCCCGCTTTAATTCAATTCAATAAAAACAAAAACAATCCGATTCGTCGCAAATTGTACTCCAGAACACCAATGCCAGTACATTAGTATGATGACACAGATTTTAATATGTATTTTTTAGGAATGGATAGATGGTAAGTTCGAAGTTTGAAAGTAATTATAGCAGTATATATCATAAAAAAATCAGCACATTTTGTCTTGACCCAATTACCTTACGCAACATTTTCAAGAATTGGAACTAGACACTTGTGAATGTCAATAGTTTGCTTCAAAGCAAAATTGGAAGCAACTTTGAGTAGTAGTAGGATTTGCATAGCAGTAGGGTACAAGTTACAGCTGATACAATACGTTATAGTTTAAAAATCACTATGCTAAGCACATATACTATGCCTGTTTTTAAACATAAAAATTAATGAAGGTAAAGTAATGAGTACATTAAACCGTGAAGTGTGGCTCGGCGACAGAGCCGATTTCTTTTCTACAGGAGGTTTCATGGCATAGCACCCCCCCCCCCCTCACACACACACACACACAAAAATGAAACCGCTTTTAGAGAGGTGTTACATGCACTGAATGATGCATATTTGAATGCATTCATTTCAAATAATACTTCGAAATTTAGAATATTCTGAATTCTTGTCAAAACAGATTTGAATAGTACTGTAACATTAGTTATAATATTCAACGCACCCAAATATTTGCCAGTCCTTAATATTTTTATTTAAACCATGATAGGCCCTCTAAAAGAAAGTTCTTGAACCTTGCTATGTTAGGTTTTTTACACCTTCACAGCAGAATGAGATGCATTTTTACAGATGAAGAATTATGTAAGCTTTAACAGATGCTGCAGCAAAACACACTACAACCACAGGCTATGATATTCAAGAAAAAAAAAAAGACTCCAAGCAGGAAACTGACTTGGTATAGGTAAAAGCTAGTATTGCTTTCACAACTCACCTGTAGGAACTCTTTTGGAAAGAGAAGGATGTAGGCTTGTACCACCTGCAGGCACATCTTCATGTTTTCTGTGCCAAGCTCTGTGAACGAAGATGAGCATTTTGAGCCGTTACCGATTCTAAAAAGGGAGGTAGAGATCGTAAAACAAAACAAGTGTTGTGTTGTCATGGCTTGTTTGCTACTCTCGAGTGCTCCATCATATTAATAAAAAAAGTTTTACGATTCTGCACAGCGAACCCTTAGAAGACAGAGCAGGGATGCAGAGGTTTGTCAAACCCATTACACAGACCTACAATGTCCTCGTGTGCATGTGACAGAATGTGAAAAGAAAGTTGGTCACTTTGTTTTACACTCACACCTCCATATAACTAACCCAAATATACCAAAATATCGTTTATAACAAACTAAATGAAGAATAGCCTTGCAATTGATATACAGTTAAACCTGGATATAACGAAATTGATGTCTCGGAAAAACTCGTTATAAAGAGGATTTCGTTATATGCTGGTTTGGTACAAAAATTGGGAAAGCAAACGTGCAAATTAAACAAGAGGGGTACTGAAGGAGAGCTAACCCAAAACACTTATTTTACAGTAAAAAAAAATCGGCGTTATTATTGCGATAGCAATTACATGGATACACTCGGTGGGTTTTTTCCGTTGTCGCCATGTTCCGTAACAAGTCCAAATCGTTAAGATGCCCCCGCGCATCGTAACTTTCACGAGCGAGTGAAAGTGCACGAGCGCTGCTGAAGCAGAGATTAAATCAGTTGGCCAATTTCCATCACCTGGAAAGTGCATAAGATAATATCTCCCGCGTGTTAGAACTGTCGTCGAATGCTCAAACAGAAAGTAAACCACCCGCCTTGAACAAGCGTGAAACAACGCGGGGATGAGGGGGTTGGGGGAGGGGATCGCTCGGGCAGCAATAATTAGCTTGGATTTCAAGGGCAGTAGCGATCGCTGGCACACCTGCTCTCTGGGCGAGTATCAGTGCGGTTTCAATGCGAAGTGACTGTGTGAAAAGAGTACTTCTCCCTGGAGAGCCCGTATTTGCTCACACCAGCATTTTGGAGGAGTTCCGCGATATCCAATCCAAAAGAGGTGGCTGCAGCCTTACTTCATATACCATTACAATTTTTCGCTATTGTGTTCACTGCATTGCATTCAACGCGCTGTCGTGTTGCCAGAACTAATCGGCTAATCACGAAAGCTACAAGCCTGCGAACTCTTGGCGCGACGCAAGACGGCAAAGCAGCATTCAACGCGCCGTCGTGTTGCCAGAACTAATCGGCTAATCACGAAAGCTACCAGCCTGCGAACTCATGGCGCGGAGCAAGACGGTAAAGCAGGTGACCAGTCGACCACCGAAGAGCTGTCGTCACCGTGGTCTCGCAAAGTTTCCATGAACGCCTCATCTGACATCCCCTCGGGGAGGACGACACGGTTGTTCGAAATTGAGAAAAGTCGCAGTTTCGCCGCAAGGGCGAACCAATTAATGACTGCAATAGCAACAACTTTGAATGTAACGCTAAGAACGGCAAGCAGATTGAAACGTGCAATGCGCTGCTCACGCACAAATGATGCACAAAAACAATTCACAGGACGAGAACAAACTAACAACGTTTACCACTCGACACTTAATGTACTGTTCAAACGAAAACGAGGCCCAAAACGTAATCAGAGGTACAGGTATGAGTGCGAACTAACAAGTGCCCCAGCTGTTACTTCGCTGTTTCTGAAAAGCGCACTCTTTTCGCAAACGACACCTGTCCAGCAAGCCGAGTAATTTTTGTGTGCCCAGCAACTAAACGCAATCGTTCCGGTGAAAGTTGAAAGTGCTGTTTTCCCCACCGAAGGATAAGGGCGCGCGCACAGGCATCTAACCTCCTCCTGCCCTCTATTCGCGGGGCAAAGTACGCCTTGGGAGATGAGCATGCGTGGGCGCATTGTGACGAGCTGAGTGCAGAGTGTGGGCGGCTTTTTTTTTTCTCGAGTTTTCATATTGGTTATGTAAATATACGGTGAATGGTGGCTGCGGTGGCGTTGGCGACAAACCAGCCGGGACTCTCTGCATAAAAGCTATGGCAATAAAAAAAAACAGCAAAGCTGAACGTCGTTAGGGACCACACCATGCACGCACGCACGGCATCGAAAACGAAGAGCAAATGATACGGACACAGACGCGGATACCACGGAAAACCATTCGGTAAGTGCCCTTCATATGCAGCGTGGCCCACATATGTGATACTAACTAAACGAGGCGCTGCCAAAGCGCAAAAGTAGTTTTCTTTCTTTTTTTTATTTTGGTTTGAAGTGGGGAGTGGGGGTTTGGAGTGGACTCGCGCATGCGCCCGCGGCAGCGAGAACGGCAGCAACGCCAGCTTGTGGGGTGCAGGCCCGCCCGCTCGCCTCTCACTCAACCACGCGCAATAATGAGCTCTTGCTCTCGCCTGGTGCGCCGTGTCCGCCGCGCCGCTTCGCCCTTTGTCGGCAGCGGGGCAGTTGCGAAAGATGCATGCTCGTAACAAATGTGGAGCAAAATTCCTAGATTGTCCGTGAGGAAAATTCGTTATATTAAGGTTGTCTCCCACTGTTATTTTCTTACATAGAGGTCGCCAGTACATGTGCTTCTATGAAGCAACGCAGGGAATAGAAAAACTTCACTATATCGAGGAATTCGTTATATGGAGGTTCGTTATATGCAGGTTTAACTGTATAGTATAACCTTGTTACAACGGATCTGCTTACAACAGACTTTTGGATACTGCATACCAAGTGGTGTTTTCATGCCGACTTCCCTATTTGCTTCATTGATTGAGCTTCATTTATTACGAATTCTGACACAACTGACATTGTGAGGCTAGCAAGGTGGTCAGGACTCCTTTACAGCAGGCGTTCTAAATTCAATAACTTCCGACTCGAACATTAGCATACTTTCAGAACAGCAACAGCGTGCAGCGAATATCAACGTACCAATTGAAGAATGAAGGCCACCAATATGCGGTCTATTAAAGGTCAGTTATGGCTAACTAAGGCGACAAAAAAATCAGTATGCAGAGTGCTTGGTCAAGCGTTTTGTGGTGCTGAGGCGCAAAATTGCTAGCCACTGCTCCGAGCGGTCACTGCATACCGAGCTTGGCCAGGGAAGTCAGCCGCCGATGCGCAAAATGTTCATCCGAAGTTCTGAGGAGCCAGCGGGCAACGTACGCCTTCTTCGCTTTCGCATGTCCGCTGAGGCGATGATCTTGTTTGCTAAGTTCGAAGTGCAGTTAGGCCTAGCCACGAATTCGACCAGAAGTCTCAGATGTGATGTGCGTGGCCGAGGTGCCCGATGTTTCAAAGTACGTCGAGCTCGATTGCGAGTATAAGGAGTTCTCGTGCGGAAGGCTTTTGTCCCAAGGTCTGAGTGCTGACAAGCAGCGAGTCCAATGAGATGCTAATGCAGTGGGTCTGAGACGCGCGTCTGCAATGTTCGCGACAATTCAACGCGCTATCGTAATCTGATTACTAAACTTCCACTTGCAGCTGCCTTAACTACATCGCGACCTGTGAACAGAGAACCAAGCAGCACAATTTTGAACGGTTGCGCTGTTCAGAAGCTGTTATCTTTTTTTGAAAAATGTCATTTTTTGTGACTTCTGCAATAATTCTCGCTACATTGGTAGGCGCAAAATTTCTTCACAGCACTAATGCATAGTTTTTAGTGAATATATTGTGGAATCAAATTTTTAAAAAAAGAGAGGGAAGTGACAGAAGCTTCTTGTGCTATTCGAAAAATCATATTTTATTGCCCTGTTGAGAGTACATTCGATTATGACTTGTAATTCTCTCTGGTTATAACAGACCCAATCATTGATTACATGAGAGTTTGTTGTAACAGTGCTTAGATTTTACATAGTTCTCTTACAACAGATCCAAAGCTTTTTCAATATGAAGTTCTGTAGTATCACGGTTATACTGTTTCTTTGGAATATACTTTTATAACAAATTTTTGGCTATAACAAACTTAATTCCATGTAAAATGCTGCTTTGTCATAATGAAGTTTTAGTGCATATGAAATAGGTCAGTACTTGTGTTCAGCTGTATTCACTAAAGAGTACAATGCCAATTGGACTTTCCTGAGCATCATCAGTGTGGAGAGAAGCTGTATTTCACTTCAATACCATTCCATAGGAATCCCATCTACCAACAGTTCTAAACACAAATTGCCACTGATGACAAAGGTTTACAATGCCAATTGGACTTTCCTGAGCATCATCAGTGTGGAGAGAAGCTGTATTTCACTGCAGTACCATTCCATGGGAATCCCATCTACCAACAGTTCTAAACACAAATTGCCACCGATGACAAAGGTTTACTGACACACCAGCAAGGCATTTGTGCACAGATCTCAGTTTAAGGGTTCCCAATAAGGTATGATTAGTGGACGAAAGAATTCTAAGCTCTGAGCCCTTTGCTACAATGAAGTTGTTTTCGTAAAGGCTGCTGGCATGCAAACATATTCCGTTGTAGAAGTAGCTGTTGGCTGAGGCTTTTTTTTCACCCACTCTTGACAAGACTTAATTTTTCAGTGGCTCTTTATCTTATTTCAGTGTATGAGTGGCCTTCTAGTATAAGAATGGCACACAACAATGAACTCTCCTATTTTTCGGAGAACTTTAAGCGTGAGTGTAGAGACACTGGACAAAGAGAAGAGCACACCCCACACTCCGTCGGCTAGCCCGCCAAGCCTTCCTGTCTTAAAAACTCACCAAAAAGAGGAAAGAGATACTGTGCCAGCTGCAGCAGCTCAATTGAGGTGGAGCGTGTGTTTGCCAGCAGCGCCCACCACAAGTCGAGACAATCCTCGAGCAAGTAGACGTGAGGAGACTGGTGCACATCCACCCCAAACGCCACCACTGGCACCAGGAATGGATGCAGTCGCTCAGACTGTGCGCCGAGGCCATTTACCACCTGTTAAGAACCCACTTTCTGTGACACACTTACATTCAGAAAAAGAAAACCCCACATTCTCCGGACTGAGCAAGGCACTCCCCACCCCTTAGTAAACTGATTAATGCTTTTAGTGTTTTTGCTGTACATGTATGACGGCAGTTTTTTGTCCTGCAGTGTCTTTGCAGCATGGGTACATTTATTTATTACTTGGTAATACTGTCGACCCTCACAGAGGGTCATAACAGAGAGGACATACATAAATAATGTACAATGTTCATAAAGTGTCTTAATACCTTGACAACTCCCCATAAAAACTGGTATTCTCTTAATTAGCAACTCAACATTCAAAATAACAATTCAAGAACAATTCAGAATTCACAGTCATTTTTCAATATATTTGCTATGAACATGAAGTCGCTTGCGTAACTTTGCACTGAAAAAAATTCGACTGATATTCGACGGTGAAATTTTCGAACTGTCCGCTTGAAATTTCCCGCCGTAATGACAATGCATGCTCACTCAGAGATGCTGCCACCTTCCTAGGGCCTACAAGAAGCATTGAGGAGTAGCAGGCTAGAAACCCACTTTCCAGGCTAACCTCCCCTCCTCCTTCTCATTAAATACCTTCTTCTTCTTTTTGCAAATGACTTGTGCTGCCTTTTCACTGAAGACAAACAGAAGTGATTTTTAGCGTCAGTACGTCACGCGATCTTGTGGCAATGCCAATGGGCAGCACCCTTTTATGGTTTCTGTTTCGCCGGTGACTGCACAGAGGCGTGCACAACTTGATTTTTATCTTTATCAGGCACTTCCTTGAAGGAGTGGTACAAGTTGACTTAGTACATTTCTCTTGGAGGTGCTCTTAGCTCGTGTATCACCGAAAATTGTGAGGTATTCTGATCTACCTTTGATTGCCGAGTTTACTCTACCTAAGCCAGCCCCACGCTGAGAAGATGCCATGTGTTTGCCAGCACAAAACTTTAAGATGAGAAGGGTGGCGCACGTCATGTGCAGACAGCTGCGTGGCACTGTGTGTAGACCACTGTTTCAAAATAAACTACCTTCTGAAATACTGTAGAACACTTTGCAGTTTCTAGTAATGCTGACAAAAAATGTGTTGCTCACTTTTTTTCACAATTTCTTGCCACACATTTCGTACATTCAAGAGTCACAACTAAGTAGTCTGACCATCTCAGAAAGTTTTTCTCAGAAAAATTGTCTACTTTCAAGGGTTCAACTAAATCTATGGTCACATGTAGTGACCACTTAGTAAAGGCCTCCATACAATTCAGAGATAGAAATTTTGAGCTGAGAACTGGTCTAAAATAGGCATTAAAACTTGTACATAATTGTTGCTGTAATAAAATGTTTCATGGTCTTTAGTGTGGGATTAACCATAACAAAGAACATAAAGCACAAAGTGAAGACAAAAGGTGACAGGAAACAAGGGAGTGCGAAGAGAAACCCTAAAGTCAACTTCGTTCCTTGCACCATCAAAGTCGTTTGTCAAATCTTGCTCTCATATAAAACAGTATACCAAGAAAAGTAGGTGCGTAATGGCAGATTTAGACAATGCAACCATGTTAAAAGTCCACATGATGGCTGGTTTACCATTTACTGTAATTTTCATGGCTGTGAACCGCCGTTGAGTATGCTTGCTGAGTGTGAGGAAGAAAGGCTGTTGTTTGGGTGTCGGAGTAACCTTTGCACCAATGCCAGTGTGGCTTCGGCCGCTAGCCCGGCCGCACACGCTCTGCATCAAACATGCGATTGTGTTCTTGTCGAATGGGCATCGAGTTTCCTATCAGGAGAAGTGTCGTTCTTATAGCGTTTGCTACTTTCTCCTAAAATTTCAAAACTTTTCCGCTTTTCGATGCAAGCTTTCGCCTTTTCTGCCACTACATGAATTGCTGTCGCCGTTGATTTTCTGGCCGTGAAGCTGAACATTGTATCACGAATGCTATGCTTGGATCAGTGCTTGAGTACTATCTTTTCAACGTCCAATCTTCATGTTGTCTTGTACAAGCTTCCCGCGACATGCCGAATCGCAGGCTAGGCCTAATTCCTGTTGGTGCTTTTTGGTGGCAGTCACGGGCGTTCAAAGTTGCGTTTTTGTGTGGAATCAACGTAACTCTTTTCGGTGGCTTTATTTGGAGGAAAGGATCCTTGAGTGGCGCTTGTATCACTCAAATAGTGGTTCGCAATTTGATTGCAATGTCTTGGATATCTTGGATATAGGGTGCGAGCCCATCACGTTCAGTGCACAAAGATTTAGTCGTAATAATGTGCATAATCTAGGTGGCCTGAAACGCTATTGGCGAATTTCGGTAAAGGCGTTTTCTTGTCGTAGTTTTTTTTTTCTCGCTTTCATTTCATTGCCAATGCAGGTGTTTTAATGTTAATGTTTGGAAATTTGAATGCACACTGCGTCGTACACCTCGATTCTCGGACGCGCGAGACTGCATGCTCAACACGTGTTGCGCTAGCATAGCCTATGAATAAGGATGTTTTGGTTGTGGTGAAGATAATCGTGACTTTGACGACATATATTATTAATGATCTATGCTGTAAATAGAAATGAAATTTTTTGAAATTTTACCTTGCACCCCAAACTTGGAGCCGGATGTGTTCTGGGAAAAAAAAAGTGTGCTTATTACGCAAGTAAATACGGTAAAGCCAAACCAAGATGAAGATCCATAAAAAAAAAAAAAGTGCAGTTGCAGACAGAGAGCCTCAAATAGGTTGCTTGTAGTTGTAGCACGACTGCAAGGGGGGGTTGCATTCAGTACAACATAGTCTCTATGCCATGTCATTCAATGACTCAACAAATTTCGGCTTGGTTCAATTTAAATTCTTCTTTGCCAGAAGTGCTGGCGCTCATGCAACATGGCGAGCTTCGAAAGTGGCAAACGAACCTGCACGAGTGTGGTGACGATGGCACAGCGTAGCATGTGATGTTCACCGCAAGTTTCCCAAAGAAGGGGCAGGTACTGAACCAGGTCGCCTGCAAATGGCATTATCTGGCTTCCCACTCGCTCAATGATGAACGACGTCACATGCAGGATACTGATCTGCACAACATACAGAGAAATACAGAAAGGCAAGTAAAGTTGGCACACTGCTCCTGCATTAAGCAAAAAATAAAATATCTCAGTTAAGCACAAAACGCAAACAAGTACAGAAGGAAATGTAATTAGTAGCCTTGTGTGAAAAGTAGATTTTAGGTTCAAAGTAAATAGTGATTTGGTGAAATCGTTTGTTTTTTTAGGTTTAAATAAAGTGGAAGGAACTTTGAATAGTTGCAGGATTTCACTTTTGCTAGAATGCAAGTGATGACATGTAAAATATGTCAAGTTATAAAATTGACTACCTTATACTTAGACTGCAAAAGCAGCATAACAAGTTTAAATTAAGGTAGCTTTTCCAAGTAGAGGTGCCAAGCCTGAAGGAACTGCGGAGCTGGGCAGCCTTTTTTGTTTCTCTTCGGTCTTCTCTACCTTTCCTCCTCCCTTATTTTTTTTTTGTTCTCTTTTCCAGATTTATCTTGTTTTTTATGTTTATTACTATTTATTTTTATTTCTCTTCCTATATTTTTACTTTCATCCTATCCTCTCTCCATTACTCGCTTCCTCTTTCAATTTTTTATGTGTGGTTTATGTTGTCGTCTTTCCATAGCCATAGTAGTAGTGTTCGCACTTAATATCATCATCGTGGCACTTGTAGAAGAAGAGGAAGAAGATTTCCTCTTGGCACGAGCGCATGCTCAATGTGCGATGTGGTTCTGCCTTTTGTTACACCAAGCAACAACAACAGTCCGGCTCCCTAGAGGGCTCCGCATACTTAAAAATGAATAATCGACGTTAAGGTAATGTGTTCATTTAGCCTCGAAGTAGGGGCTTCACAGAAGCGCAGGTTTTCCCTGCAGAGATGTATTCATGGTATAGCACCTCCCATTGCAATGAAACCACCTTTATAAGGGGGTTACATGTAGACTATTATACACTCAGACCTCATTATAAACAAGCTGCATTACCTGAAATTAGGTTGGTTATATCAGAAAATTTGTTATAATGGCATATTTATAAAGCCTATATTTATTGTAAAACTATTTTTCATTTACTTCTTTATAACTGATAGTTTATTATATCCGGGTTTGTTTTATCAAGGTTTAAGTGTACACCTATTAACTGATTCGGATACTTAAAAGTTTCTATAATTATTTATTTAGCTATTTATGTGAACCTCAGGATGCAAGGTATATTTCAGAGGGTAATTTGAAGTAGAAACGAAGCGAACTGAAATAGTGTAATATTCGTTCGAATATTCAAAGCACTCGAATATTTGCACAAGCCTAGTAGGTGATTCGTAGCTCTTAAAAAAAAAACCCCTACACCCTATGGCTTAAAGAATGGCAGCGACACAATTTCTTTTAAATTTCAGAAAAACTACCATGCACTACTTATATATAAGATGACACACAGCACAACATTCCTTACCTTTGTATCACACTCCGTTACTTGCTGCAACAACTTGTACAGAAGTGACACATAGGATTCTAAGTACTGGAAGGGAAAAAGAGCAATATTTTAAACATCACGTAGGGACTCTTCATCACTCCTTGCTCGTTCTCCCCCAAGAATAAAGTGCCCATTGCTACTACCACTATGGCATTGCATTCATACAGTAATTCACTGGAAAAATTTCACCCACTATTCAGAAAATCAGATTGCTTATGGGGTTATTGTATCTCAACTGCCATCACTCTCCCTTTGTAGTAAGACAACTACCTCAACAGTGAGATGCCTCTGCGATCACTACCTTTGTGATCACTACCTTTGTACCGATCACTACCTTTGTAGTAAGGCAATGACCTTAACAGTGAGATGCCTCTGGGATTTCCCCTTTTGTAGTAAGGCAACGACCTCAATGATGAAAGGCTTGTGCGATCCCTCCCTTTGTAGTAAGGAAACGACCCCAACAGAGTGATGCTCTGCGATCCCATCGCAAGCTGTTTTTACTTGCAAATAAATGACAGCCTACTCTCAAGCAGTCAAAATGCACATTTCTTGCATTGGCAAATCAATTCCCTAGATTAATATTAACCACCTCCCACCATCCCACCTTCCCTAAATAAAGAGCAGTTGTTTGAACATTAGTACGTTAAATGATCATCACAAAGAACTTGGGTCTGTATTCACAAAGATTTTCTGTCTCTACCATTGGCAACAACTCAAGCGTTATAGTAACTATACTGACACATTTATTCGTACTGCAAGAAGATTGCCCAAAATAGCGTCTAATGATTCTATTAAAGAAAAGATTTGTGAATAAAAGCCCCGACAGAGCTCCTGCGGCCAAGATCATTTAGGTGTAGCTGTATGACTGACCACATTTAAGGCCTAAAAGCTGCAATCCTCAAAGTGGCTGATGAGAAAAGATAAAAAAGACAAAGGCTTGTGTTATGTTATCTAATCTACACTGATTGTGTAGATGAGATAATGGTTACATAAGTTAATTACGGCCCGCAAACTGATCATTATGAGAATTTATCTTGTTTGATAAAGACAAAAAGTATGATCAATACAATATTATTGCATTCAAAATACTAATTATAGTTTAAAATATAATTACAAAGAAGAAATATTACTCACAGGAAGAAATTGTTCGGTGTTGAACTCAAAATCATCAACAGGTAGATATCATAAAGTCAAGGATGGGTCACCAGGGCAGCTGAAGCTTATTTGTCTGCTTTACATATAGTCTCAAGTAATTTTAGCTACAAAACATGAGTGCTGAGATAATATAAGAATCAAGAATGTTGCTGAATATTTTTGAGGCTACTGCATTAATAAAAATTAGAAACATTAAAGTAAGAGAGTAAGGATAACTAGAACTGTACAATGTAAATGAAATTCAAGGGTATAAGTACAAATGCTTTGAGTTTGCTTCTTGTGCTTACTCCTATAAATTATCACTGTGATGCTGACCACAAGTTCACCCAATAAAGCGTTCAATCTCAATAATTTTGGCTGCCAAATTTTTTTCCTGTTGCAGCCACATTATTACATTACACTTGTTTAAAATATATTTATATAAAACTGATCCTAGGTGGGCCGGTGAGATTAAAAAGTTCACAAGTATAACGTGGCAGCAGAAAGCACAAGACTGTGTTGATTGGCAAATGATGGGAGAAATTTTGTCCTGCAGTGGGCGTAGTCAAGCTGATCATGACAATGATATCAAAGATATTCGAGTGCCTGGTTTTCTAGGACAATGTTTTCTACCTACTCTCTGTAGTAGGGTGCAATGATGTCACACATTTTCTACTCCAGTTCAATTATCATATTTACAGCACTGAACCAAGTCCACAGATGGCTAATGCAGCTATGAGCTGTTATAGCAGGCACATTGCCTTTATTGAATCCCTACTTTACTTTTGAATTGTCTTGGAATATATAGTTTATGAAGAAGAAGATGTGCCTACAGCAAGCAGCATCGACAACGCTTGGCTCTCTCGGCTCGTGCTTCGGTTCCTTGCTGTGCGGATCGCTAGACGGTTCTTCACGCTGTCTCGTCGCTGTCTTTAACGGCTAATAAACCTCCTCACATTTGGTGGAGGTGCTGTTAATCACCGTTGCTACACCCTGGAGCTGCGAAGCCGCACGCTACCGCCTGTCATGACTGACAACGCCACTACATCGACGCCTTCGCCCCAATTTGAACTGCCCTGGCCACCCTAGGCTACGGGACTCGAAGGTCTTCAGCGGTGCGGATGGGACCGACGTCGAAGACTGGCTCGAGCACTACGAACTGGTGAGCGCCAACAATAACTGGGATCAAGCCGACAAGCTGGGCCACGTGATATTTTATCTCACTGGCATCGCCGAATTGTGGTTTTACCACAAACACAACATCCCCACATAGAGCGTCTTCAAGACATCATGTGCTGAAGTGTTCAGTCGGCCGGCTGTCCTCAAGCAGCGGGCAGAACAGCGCTTGCGCATCCGCTTTCAGCAGACTGGCGAGACTTCTACCAGCTATATTGAGGACGTCGTCGACCTTTGTCGACGTGCGAATGACACCATGCCCGAATTTGACAAGGTCAAACATATCCTGAAGGGCATCGACGACGGCGCATTTCAAATGCTCTTGGCAAGAAATCCGAGCACAGTTTCTGAAGTTGTCAGCTTGTGTCAGAGCTATGACGAGTTAAAGAAGCAACGCACTCTGACTCGGCAGCCTCAGCATGGTGGTGAGTCACTGTCCATTTCGACACCCGGCCTGACAATTCACCGTTGCTTCAGCAAGTTCGAGCCTTCGTCCGTGAGGAAGTCGCCCGCCAACTTTCCCTAGTGCCCTTCACTCACAAGACCACCACCCGTCTACCTGCCTCGCTTCGCACTGCTATTTCGGAAGAGGTTGCCCAAGCTGTTCCTGTTGCGCACCACGAGCCGCCTTTATCCAGCCGTGTTTACTGCCAGCGTGTCGTGCAGCCGGTAGGCCCTCCTGTCACCTATCCGCCAGCCATGCAGCCTGTGACCGCGCACCTAACGTATGCAGCGCAGCCAGTGGCTCCTCCTGTCGCCTGTTCGCAAGTGATGCAGCCTGTAGCAGCGCCATTCACATATTGTCGCGAGCAAAAACAAGACCTGCAGCCAGAAGTTCACCCGAACCAGAGCAAGAAAAACGTTCTCTTCTTCTTTGTAGCCCAAAACGGGTATGAGCCACAGCGGCTCGTTCATCAATGGTGGCATTACCCCCTCTGCCAAGAAGCAATGTCGCGATGCTGTACAGGAAAGCAAAAAAAAAAGAAAAAAAGAAAATGAGATGAAAATTACCATGCAAGCAAAATGAATGGCGTAAGGCGGAATAACATAGTTGGTTGTGGAGCCAAGAGTTAAGGGGGGAGGCTACCCTGGAGACCGAACTTTTTTATTTTTTAAGATATCTTGATGAAACTTTCAGGGGTTGTTCACTACAATAAAACTAGCACAACTGCTAAGTTTCACGAAGCTGTGTTTCTTAGTTCCAGAGTTATTGAGGTTTAACTGGGTGCTTCACATGGGTGCCTGAGGAAGAGTCGTGAGAAATCCCAGGACATAGTAGAAAGCTGAAATTCATTGTGGTCATTCCTTGATAGCTATCCCAGGGCGCTACAAAGCCGTTTTTTTTTTATTCCCCCCCCCCCCAAAATTTTCACGCAACTTTGAATTTGATGTAACCAGTAATGACCAGATTCATCAAAAATTAATTGTTTACTATAAATTAACAGCACCAATTTTCAAAAAAAGGAGCTTGTTACGCCCTTGCAAGGTCATTCAGGAACAGAATAAAAAAAACGGCACACAAATCTGATGAACGGTTTTCGAGTTCTTGCTTTCCTCAGCACCACAACTAGCAAAAAAATCCGTTCTGAGAAAACAGGCCGAGAAAGTTCAAAACACGTGTTTTCTTCAAAAAGCTCCAGCACAGTAGCTAGAAGTGTCCTGGCGCACTCTTTTCTTCTTTTGCCTGGCCTCCATCTTCTCTTGGTGTCTTTTAGAATTCTTTTTTAGGCGTAAAGCGTCTTTTTCACGAGCTCGCTGGATGGCCAGATGACCTGGTTGAAGTCCAATGGAGTCCGTTATCACTTGGGTTGCTTTGCAGCAGCCGGCATTGTAGCGCAGCACTGCTTCATGCAGTGCTGTTTCTACCGCGATCAAGGATGAGTGTTGTTCCTTCGGCATCAGAGACCACAGAATGGAGTGGAATGATTCTGATGCATTTTGCGTCTTCGCTCCCAGGCAGCCCTGAAGAAGCAACTTTTGTGACAGTCTTTCGTAGATGGGCAGCATAGCTGCAGCGACATAGTCCGGTAGGCTGTGTTTATGTTTTGGCTGTGGCTCACGCTTTGCCTCTGCAGCTCTTTGGCGGCACCACAATTGAGCCCCCTCTGGGCAAAGTTCATGGTGAGGGTCCTGGTCAGTCGATGTGACGTGGTGATATGTTGCCATCACTGCACGCTGCATGGCTGTTAGGTCAGTTGAATTGTTTCTCAGGGCCCAACCATAATATCCTGTCAGCTTTTCAATGAGGGCTTTAGTCAGCTTCCCCTTCCCACTCAGTGGCTTATCACTTTTCTGCACAATGTTTCGAAGAGCACTTCCAATCCTTTTCTGAACATGGTTCAGACATTCTTCTTTTACAATTGGCACTAGCCCGTACACATTCTCTTCTGTGAGGGCAGCGAAGGTAAGGCTGTCTCCGTCGGACACAAGAGTGGTGTACCGCAGGCCATGCTTGGATACAGACCGCCCAAAGAGAGTCAAGCCTGCCTCCACTTCCATGCTTCCCGATTTCGCGTCTGTGTTTTTCTGGCAAATGTGGTGCTTCTGCCAGCTTTCGTATGCTGCATCTACAGGTTTGGGCCCTGTTTGGCATCCAAGGCAGTGGTTTGAAAGAACTACAGCATCCAAGATGAGACCTGTAAAGATGCCAATTACCGATCCCACTCCGATGTGTGACCCCGCTTATGCCATGTGCCATCGTACACTACGGTGATGTCCTTGCAGAAGCTGGGGTCCATTTCTTTATATGTTTTGATCACTGCTGTGGCAGAATCAGCATAAAACTTCTCCAAAGCGGTGGCCTCTGGCTTTCTGAACGTCTCTTTCAAGTGCTTTTGAAACGTCTTGTGGTGAAGACCTCTGTAAGAGACGTTCATGGCAGCCCAAAAGTCATTAAGAGCTGTTTGCCCCTTGCCTATTTGCTTTATAGCCATTATGGCACGGACATTTACATCGAAGGCCTGCGTGTCCTTTTTGCGGGGTGATGTCCATAATTTATCGACGGTGCCACAAGAGGCGCACACGACTTCAAGTTTTGTTGCAAGTCCAAGCTTGGTGCTCTCTCGGACAGTCATAGCACCTTTCAAACATTCTTTGCACACTGTGCGGCTGAGCACGACGTTAAAGATGTTCATTTGAACGAGCGAAAATGTTCGCCCTCACTTGTCACTGCAGGTGCAAGAGCCGGCTGCATCAGTTGAAATTTCTTCTGCGTCGCCGGCGTAGACTCGAGTTCAGCGCGAACGGCGTCACGACGTTTCGCATTCGCATCGATTTCTTCCTTCGTTAGGAAACGCATCCGCAGATGAAGCGATGGTCCACTCACGCTCGATGGCGGCACCGATTCAGACGAAGTGCTGGGTCCGGCGATATCAGAAGCACTCGGTGTCACGCTCGATGGCACCGATTCAGACGAAGTGCTGGGTCCGACGATATCAGAAGCACTCGGTGTCACACTGGATGGCATCGATTCGGAGCACGTGTCGAGCCCAGCGATCTCGGAAACACTCGGTGCATTTGCGGCTCCAGCCACACTCGATGTGTTGGATTTTCAACTGGCGACAGCCGACAACACAGTTCCGTCGCTGCAAGCGTCTACGCAGTCGGCACCCGCAGCAGAATAGCAGAATTTCGATGATGGTACAAGCCGCATAGCGTGCCTCCGCGCACCAGACTTCCGCACTGACTTCGGCTTCGTTGCCGGCATCGCCCGCAACAACAAAGACGAAAGGCACAGAACTAGTGCAAAAAGAAAAAAAAAAACGAGAGAAAATGATTGAAAAGATAGCACAAGGCGAAGAGCGGCTCGTAAGCAGACGTCTGTCGAGGCGGACGGAGCAGAGAGCAACAACGAAGCGAGCGCGCT